CCCGAAAAGGCTCAACGGAATTAGTAGCCAGCACCGATGCATGGCCAAGCCTGGTGGTAAAGGCTTAGAAAGAGGCCTGGTCTGTTTGCATGTTCTTCCACAGGATCAGTATCAGGAAGTCTTAGGGACCGCGGAGCAAGAAGTTTCGGTCTATTGCTCAGCTGATCCTGCACAGAACTACCGTCGCCACCACTTGCAGCATCACCCCAGGTCACGATGGATCCGTCGCCAAGAATGGCAGCAAAGGCGGCGTTTGTGGTTTGGATATGCCGTACATTCTTCAGCTGATCCTGCACTGCACGACTGTCGCCACCATGGGAAGCATACCCCCATGTCACGACGGATTCGTCACCGAGAGTAGCAGCAAAAGCGGTGACATAGGTGCCAGAGGTTTGGATCTGCTGCACATTTTCTAGACGGGACAGAAAAGCAGTGCTGTCACCACCATGGAACGCATCACCCCATGTTACCACGGATCCATCACCACGAATGGCGGCAAAAGCACGTCGAGAGGCTCGGATTTGCCGCACTTTCTTCAGCTGGTCCTGCACAGCCCCACTGTCGCCACCGTAGTCGGCATCGCCCCATGTCACGACAGATCCGTCGCCACGAATGGCAGCAAAAGCGTAGTCGGAGGCTTGGATGCTCTGAACATTTTTCAGCCGAGCTTGCGCAACCCTGCTATCGCCGCCATAAAAAGACCAGCCCCACGTGACGACGGATCCATCGCCAAGAATGGCAGCAAAGGCAGAGCCATTGGCTTGGATGTGCGTCACATTCTGCAACTGATGCTGCACACGACTGCTGTCACCTCCATCGTTAACATGACCCCATGTCACGACGGAACCACTGCCAAGAATGGCAGCAAATGCGCCGGAAGACGCTTGGATCTGCTGCACATTCGTCAGTTGATCCCGCACAGAAGAACTGTTACCACCGTGGGAAGGCTTACCCCACGTTACGACGGATCCATCGCAAAGAATAGCAGCAAAAGCAAAACAATTGGCTTGGATCTGGTGCACATTCTGCAAAGTACCCTGCACACAACTGCTGTCACTGCCAGCATTAACATGACCCCATGTCACGACGGAACCGCCGTCCACAATGGCAGCGAATGCACCGGAAGATGCTTGGATCTGCTGCACATTCTTCAGCTTATGTTGCACAGCAGTGCTGTCTCCGCCATGGAGAGCATCACCCCAAGTCACGACAGATCCATTGCTAAGGATAGCAGCGAAAGCGTAGTCATTTGCTTGGATCTGCTGCACATTCTTCAGCTGAGCACGCACAGTCCTACTGCTGTCACCTCCATGGCCTGCATCACCCCAACTCACGACAGATCCATCACCAAGAATGGCGGCGAAGGCACTGCCGGTGGCTTGAAGCTGAGGTTCTCCTGCATGCAGCATCAATGAGTCACCGTCCTGCAACCTGCTGTCTTTGATCAAGGCAGATGTTTCCAGAATGCTTCCAGACGAATGCATCAGTCGCCCTTTTCCTACTCCAAGTTCAGTCCGCGCACGATCTTGTAGTGTTTGCACCTGTTCCTCCCAGGCTGCTTCCACCGTAGCAGTCTTCCCACTTAGCAGAGCAACTTGTACACAAATCGACATACTGCAAAGCAGCAAAAAACCCTGAAGCCTAAACCCTAAACCCAATTCCCGGTCTAGGTCGTAGGACCTCTCTGAAGACCTAGGACATCTTCTCAGATAAAGTGGCTGTAGTCCGTAACTACAACACAACCTCGGCCCTAAACCCTAAACCCTACCCCTACACCCTAAAGAAAGTGTCTGTGTTGACCCTTGGAAAGTCAGAACGTGAGCAAGATGTGCTGCGACATTTGTCGGTGCGTGCCTTTCCGACTAGATGTAAGTCGTACAGTGATATCGGCAAATAACAATGCAAGGATGATAACCGTATACTAGTAGTCATAAGTCATAACACTACTGCTACGACTACTACGTCTACGACTACGACGACGACGACGACTACTACTACCGCTGTTACTGCTACTGCGGCTGCGACTGCGACTGCTACTGCCACTGCAGCTGCAGCTGCAGCTGCAGCTGCAGCTACAGCTACGCAGCTACAACCTCTGCCACTGCCACTGCTACAGCTGCTACTACGACGGCGACGAGTACAAATCGGTTGTGTCGGGTCCGGTATTTTAAAAACTCTCGGGGTCCTGGGAGTCTACTCAGGACTCCTAAAAGGGCTACTATAAAGATTTCTTGTAAGGGTTGCTACAGGGACTCTCTCATGAGGGCTTGCGGTTTCGGGCTTACGGCCTTAGGGCTTTAGGAGTTTGGATTTTAATGCCTCTGGATTTTGGAGTTGTTCGGAGCTTTGGGTTTTCAGGCTTTCAGGTTTGCGGACTCAAAATGTATGTTGGGCTCCCTTTTACTTTA